CCGCTACTCTTAGGTTGATCCACGATGTCCCAGGTGTAGCGCACCCCGGGAAGGACCGCAGTATCAAACAGGCACGAATGAAATATTACTGGCCTAAGATGGCAGCGGACATTGCCAAGCATGTACACCAGTGTGTTGTTTGCCTACAGCACAAGAGTACCATTACAGGTCCTAACCCCATTCTAAAGTATCCCATTACAAAGGAGCCCTGGGAGAGAACTTCTGTCGACCTGTTGACGAACTTCTCGACCTCGGAGAAGGGAAATAAGCACCTGCTTGTAATGGTACATAACTTTATGCAGTACAGTGAATTAGTACCCATTCCTGATAAGACCGCCGAAACGGTCGCTAGTGCTTTCCGTGAGCATGTTGTTCTTCGTCATACTTGCCCATGTGTCCTTCTGTCAGACAATGGGTCTGAGTTTATAAATGGCATAATGCAGGATCTTTGCTCCAGATACAACATTCACCAAGCGCCAGTAGCTCCATGCCACCCTGCTAGTAATGGTCTTGCTGAACGTACAAATCGCAAAGTCCTGGAGGTGCTCAGAGTAACCGTTAACCCAAGTTGTACTACATGGGATGAGGCTATCCCAGATGTTCAGTGTACATTAAATTCCTCCCTCAACAGCTCGATCGGTGAGACACCTCATTTTGCTTTGTATGGCTATGACAAGCGCTTACCATATGAAATTCTGTTTGCTCCACCTAGACCTACTTACGATACTGATAACCCCAGTGTAGTAAAGATGAGGACAACGCAGCTTGTCCTCCAGCGGGTACGAGAGAATCTTATGAAAGTTACTGATAGGTTCACGTCTGAGCGCAATGCCCGCACCAAGGAAAGCAAAGTGGAACCAGGTTGCAAAGTTATGTTGCTCAACCCAGTGCAGACCCCAGGTATGCACAAACTTGTCCCAAAGTTTGTGGATCCTTACCGTGTCCTACGACAGCTCCGTGGCAATAAGTTCGAGGTGAGGGAGATTGCTATGGGAACTATCAAGGAAGCCCACCTTGATCACATGAAGTATGTGGACTATATGCAGGCTGAAGTAGAGCTGGAGGCGCGTGCGTTGCAACGCCACAATCAGACTAATGCTAGGGACAACCCGTCTATCCCTTTTCCCACTACTACTGGTACGGAAGACGGCCCAGTAAGGCTCCATACTTATGGCCTGCGACCCAGGACAACAGTACATTTCTGTGACATTGACGTACCTACTGACTTGTCCGACTCCTACGCTAGTTATGCTAATTGTTTGCTTGCAGAAATGGGTATAAATGCACACACATTGTATAGCTAGTCGATAATGGAGTCAGGGTGGACAACATCATTTAATTATGTAAATACTTTTAGAAGGGTACCCAGAGTGTAATAAATTCCATGGATGTAGTATTATTGTAGGTATGTGCACCCAGTGTTTTTATTTATAAAAAAAGAGCCTGTATTACGGTCAGGGCAGTGCTGCCCTCTGAGTCACATGTCACACCTTAGGAAATGCTACTGTCAGTCATTGTTTGCAGATGTGAGGGTGCAACAACGTTCGTAGACGAGTGGTCAACTGATGTTCAGCCCTGCGGATAACCTGTATATAGAAGATTTTAGTTCCAGTGCTGACGTCTCCGGACTCTCTCCTCGATGAAACAGCGCGGGCAAACCAGTTTTCTCTTCCCCTGGTTGGGAGAGTTTTTTTTTGCCTGTTGCATTTTTATGTCCATTTTTGATTTACTAGTGAGAGAAAGCCAGTCCCTCTCTGGGGTAGCTAGTGTACGTAATTCCTTTATACCTACGGGCCCACCAGTATTGTCGCGTCGGGACGACGCGAGGTGCGTGGCCGAGCAAATGTAGACAGCCTGTTCTGTCAGAACACACAGCCTAGCCGTCTGCTCTGACTAGTTCATATTTCGCGGCATTTAGGTGCTGCCCTCTGTAGGCTCACCCAGGTCAGTGGGAGGCTCAGCCCAGCCGCTCTCACTCCTAGGCCGACCGTCTTGAAAGACACAAGTGCTCCCCCTCCACAGACTGGCTTGTGGTCACTCCCTCACACTGCCCGTTGTGTACTCACTCCTACTCAATTAAAGCCAAACTAGTCCACGGCCATATCATTGCTACCTACGCTACCTTCATCGGCACTAAACCGCTGTTCAGCAGCAAGAACAGCAATAACATATCATTGTATCATTATATGACTGATGAATCATTGTATCATTATATGACTGGTGTATCATTGAATTATTATACGACTGGTGTATCACTATCATTATATAACTGGTGTATGCATTGTATCATTACATGACTGGTGTATCATTGTATCATTATATGACTGGTGTATCATTGTATCATTATATGACTGGTCTCACACTGGAGTGTAGGACCAGTCATATACTGGTGTATCAGTGTATCATTATATGACTGGTGTATCATTGTATCATTATATGACTGGTGTATCATTGTATCATTATATGACTGGTGTATCATTGTATCACTATATGACTGGTGTATCATTGTATCATTATATGACTGGTGTATCACTATCATATGACTGGTGTATCATTGTATCATTATATGACTGGTCTCACACTTGAGTGTAGGACCAGTCATATACTGGTGTATCAGTGTGTCATTATATGACTGGTGCATCACTGATCATTATGACTGGTGTATCGCTGTATTTATTATATGATGGTTTCACTGTATCATTTAAAGACTGGTCTCGCACTGGAGTGTAGACCATCATATATGATGTATCAGTGTGTCATTATATGACTGGTGTATCATTGTATCATTATATGACTGGTGTATCATTGTATCATTATATGACTGGTGTATCATTGTATCATTATATTACTGGTGTATCATTGTATCATTATATGACTGGTGTATCATTGTATCATTATATGACTGGTGTATCACTATCACAGTACTAGTGTATCAGTTGTATTACATATATCATGATGGTGTATCTTATCACATGACTGGTGTATCACTATCACATATGGTATCACTATCACAGACTGGTGTATCACTATCACATGACTGGTGTATCACTATCACATGACTGGTGTATCACTATCACATGACTGGTGTATCACTATCACTGACTAGTGTATCACTTCACATGACATGTATCACTATCACAGACTGGTGTATCACTATACTGACTGGTGAATCATACACATGACTGGTGTATCATATCCATGACTGGTGTATCACTACACCCTGACTGGTGTATCACTATCACATGATGGTGTATCACTATCACATGACTGGTGTATCCTTCACAGGAATGGTGTACACTTCAAATGACTGGTGTATCACTATCACATGATGGGTGTATCACTACACAGACTGGTGTATCACTACACATGACTGGTGTATCCTATCCCTAGACTAGTGTATCACTATCACATGAGGTGTATCACATCCATGACTGTGTATCACTATCCATGGTGTATCAATATCACATGACGGTGTATCACTATCGCATGATGGTGTATCACTATCCATGACTGGTGTATCACTATACATGACTGGTGTACATATCACCATGACGGTGTTCACTATACAGATGGTGTATCACTATCCATGACGGTGTTACATACATGACTGGTGTATCACTACACATGACTGGTGTATCTTCACATGATGGTGTATCCTATACATGACTGTGTATCACTATCACATGACTGGTGTAATCACTATCACATGACTGGTGTATCACTATACATGACTGGTGAATCACTATCACATGACTGGTGTATCACTATCACATGACTGGGTTTTATCACTACACATGACTGGTGTATCACTATCACATGACTGGTGTATCACTATCACATGACTGGTTATCACTCACATGACTGGTGTATCATATCACATGGGCTGTGTATCACTATCACATATGTGTCATCATATCACATGAGGTGTTATCATATCAACATGATTGTATCACTATCACATGACTGGTGTATCACTATCACATGACTGGTGTATCACTAACATGACTGGTGTTCACTATCACATGACTGGTGTCACCTGGCTTCAGAAACACTGATTATTACCAGGATATATGCACAAGGTAATACCTAGTTTAGTCATACATTCAACACAGCAAGAGAGGCAGTCTTGTGTAACTCCATTTTGTAATGATAGTACTATATGTAATGTACCCATACATTGTACCCAATGTAAGCAAGTCATAGTATATATGTAATGTCCAGTACATAGTACATATGTAATGTACAAGTACATGTACTTATGTTACTGTACAAGTACATAGTTATTTGTTACTGCAGGAGTCCCTACACCGTGACAGTGTTACTGAGGATTCATGCACCGAGACAGTGTTACTGCAGGGAATCCATGGCACCGAGACAGTTTCTGCAGGAAGTCCCTGACACCGAGACAGTGTATGCAGGGAAGTCATGACACCGAGACAGTGTTACTGCAGGAAATCATGACACCGAGACCCGTGTTACTCAGGGGAAATCATACACCGAGACAGTGTTACTGCAGGGAAGTCATCACCGAGACAGTGTTACTGCAGGGAAGTCATGACACCGAGACAGTGTTACTGCAGGGAAGTCATGACACCGAGACAGTGTTACTGCAGGGAAGTCATGACACCGAGACAGTGTTACTGCAGGGAAGTCATGACACCGATGACAGTTTACTGCAGGAAGTCATGACACCGAGACAGTGTTACTGCAGGGAAGTCATGACACCGAGACAGTGTTACTGCAGGGAAGTCATGACACCGAGACAGTGTTACTGCAGGGAAGTCATGGCACCGAGACAGTGTTACTGCAGGGAAGTCTGCACCGAGACAGTGTTACTGCAGAAGTCATGGCACCGAGACAGTTAACTCAGGGAAAGTCATGAACCGAGACAGTGTTACTGCAGGGAAGTCATGACACCGAGACAGTGTTACTGCAGGAAGTCATGACACCGAACAGTGTTTCTGCAGGAGTCTGGCCCGAGACAGTTTACTGCAGGGAAGTCATGACACCGAGACAGTGTTACTGCAGGGAAGTCATGGCACCGAGACAGTGTTACTGCAGGGAAGTCATGACACCGAGACAGTGTTACTGCAGGGAAGTCATGACACCGAGACAGTGTTACTGCAGGGAAGTCATGACACCGAGACAGTGTTACAATAACTGACACATTAACAAGAAATGTTTTATGAAAATAATAGATTCGAAAATCACTTCTTATTATGGTCTTTGACGATGTTTCTTAATATGGTTTTTGTTCCTGGAGAATATTAGTGTTACTTGATATAAGGTTAAGTATCTTGAGTGTTATTATAAGGCGATAATCGCTGACAGGAGCACTATTTTCTTCCTCTTCCTCCCTCAGGAGCACTATTTTCATCCTCTTCCTCCCTCAGGAGCACTATTTTCATCCTCTTCCTCCCTCAGGAGCACTATTTTCATCCTCTTCCTCCCTCAGCAAAACCTAAGGGAGATGAAGACTTTTATTGACATTAGTAACTATTGCAGATATTATTACTGAAGCAGTAGCATCTAGTATAAGCTCGGTGAATGTTACTTTTATTAGCTAAACCTGTGTGAGTCTTCATGAAGATCCATCGTCCAGTCTGTGACTGTGGCACAGACAAGTTTTTCTATAAGCTCTTTGGAAAACAAGTCAGACATTCAGTAATCTAAGGGAAAGTTAAGACTGATTTGAATAATAGTTACAGACCTGAGGTTGTGTTTCCTGCTTGTGTGCTGCTACACTCTTATACACTGGCTTTAATGTCAGGTGCTGAACTGCAAGTGTGATAGCCTAGTGTAGCTGGACGGCCACGAGAAAGCTTTATACTGTATATATATTTTAAAACCTCTAGACAGTATTAAAGGCAACTATACTATAAATACCCCACTTGGGGGTTCAGTTTATCTTTCCGATGTACATGACTTGACACTAGTGTGTGTTGCTACGTTGGGGTTTACTGGATGGAGGAGGGTGACAGTCGGCGAGGACTTTACGATGGTCTAATCGTGTACTGAAGGAGAGGGAAGGAGCTCCTTGGGTGTACAGATCATAAGTGTGTTCAGAGGCAGCTTCACGCGGACGTTCATACTGCTCCGACTTGCTCTTTTTGTAGATCTGTGCCGAGGAACATACCCGTCGGTCTCTGTGTATGTCGTTACTACCAGTTGGGTTACCCAGGTCAAGGTCATGGGGAGGTGGGTAGGATGGTGGGGGTGGGAGGAAGGCAGTCCAGTTGACCTGAACACCAGAGTCATCACTACACTTCCAGTGTGCACTGGTGCTAAGATGAGGCGAAGCTGATGTTAACAACGATGTAGTGGCATATGGTTCTGTTGATGTTACACTGAGTCGCTGCTGCTCCATCCGGGGTTCTGCATACTCATTCACCAGTTGGTCTGGACGAAGAAGTCGTATTGATGACAAATTGGAATCCTTGTCACTCTGTGAGGCCCTCCATGATTTGCGTTCACTGTGCATATTGATGGAGTGGTGGTCGGGATAAAGAGATGGATCCTGGTACACAGTGGGAGTGTGAACTGGGTTACAAGTAGGCACCTTACGACGTAGGTGCCTCACGTACAACAAAGTTGTAGCAAACACCATTAGTACCAGTGGTATTAGCAGGTACACCAGCCACACAAGTTTTGGTGATGCATACATTACAATGCCATCAATGTCTGTGTTGATCTTTTGAGTGCTCTGGGCATCATTTGGTCCAGCATCAAGCAAAACTGGATCACTGAAGGGCCCAGAACCTGCCGCTGTAAGAGCTGCCACCCGGACAGTGTAGAGTCGGCCAGGCAGGAGACCACGAGCTTCCAGCCAGGGGCTCTCCACCGTCTCTGTGGTCTGACTACCATTGTGGCTTATTGTTACCTGGTAACCTACCAGCTGCCCTCTGGCTTCCTCAGCACTCATACTTGACCACCTGATGAATACAGAACCTTCCTCACGCACTGTCACACGCACGTCTCCAGGTGCAGATGCCGGAACTGCCAATGAGAACAATTTTTTTTTATTCCTAAGCAGTTAGTTTGTGGTTCACCTAAGATTCATCAAGTGAGTTGCAGCCATGAGTTTATTGTGAACTTCATGTCCACCCAGTGGTGGGTTATTCAAGAATATTGGAAGATAAACAAAAGGCTCAAGAGCTAAGAAGTCTAATAAAGGCTTTTCTGAGAAAAGGGCAAATGTTCTTTAAAGGCAGCACACTGGGATGCGATAAAATGTATAATTTTACATATCAGTGTGCACATCTTAACAAAAGTATTTTAAAATTAGAAAAGTCAAGAGTGCAAGAAAACAAACAGGAAAATCAGAAATTAGTTGATATCCTACCATCTTCTGGTGTCCTAAGTGAGTGAGCATTGGAAGGCGTTCCCTCGATGCTGTGCCAGAATGGGACGATGAAGAAGGTGTAATGAGTGTTGGCACTCAGATTGTGAAGAAGATGAGAGGAGGATGAGGCACCCAGAACAGTGGCCACTTGAACAGTGCCAGTCTTGGTCACCGAGTACACCAACACACCTTCCATAGACTCATCTGCTGGGGCCAGGAAGTCCCAGGTGAGCAGCACACTGTGAGGGGCAGTGATGGCAGCATCAGTGAGGGAGATAATGGGACGAGAGAGGCGGCGGCGAGCCTGGCGTACCTGGTCTACAGTAAGGCTGGGGTCACGGGGAGGGTGAGTGGTAACTGGGTCTGACCAGGGGCTGGGGAACGATACTCCTCTATTGTTGACAGCTCGGACCAGGAAGGTGTAAGTGTGTCCTGGAGTGAGGTGGCTCACCACACATGACTCCTGCATCATGACAGCATCAGACACACGCCATTCATCCCAACCTTGCCTCCAGTACTCTATGCGATACCACTGACCGGATTCTTCACCCACTTGAGAATTAGGAAGCCAGTTTAATTGCACGGATGTTTGGTTTACATCTATTACACGTGGCTTGGTGGGAGGCGCCGGCAGTAGCAAGGGTTCTCCAATGATAACATTATGTTCTACTCGAAGTACTGCAGCTTGTTCCACTGTACCCGAGTCTGCTATAGCTCGACAGGTGTAAATCCCCGAGTCATTAAGCTGTACATTCTTGAGGATGAGAGCACCATTTTTCGGAAGAGAGAATCGGTGGTCAGCAGTATGTTGGGTTAGTTGACGGGGTGGCAGGTGGATAGCTGGACGGTACCACCAGGAGATGGTGATTTGGGCTGCCTCGCTTACTACCTCACAGGGAAATGTTGCAGTATTCCCTGGTGCAACCTTAATATCTCTTGGACCAACACCCATCACTGGTGGTGGAAGAGCTGACACCACCATCACCTCTGATCTTCCACTTACACCTCCACCACGACTGATACCCCAGCAGTAATATGTGCCGCTGTCTTCCATTGTTGCATGTTTTAACCACAGAGTTCGACCATCATCTGACACAGAGATGTGGTCATTACTTTGTCCAGCTGCAAGAACAGCAGTTCTGTCTGGTGCTGAGAGACGCCACAATATAAGAGGTTGAGTCTCACCTTCCACAGAGCATGATACTTGCGCTGTCTCTCCTGTCATTACCTGGATTCGCTGCTGTCTTTGTGTCAGTATCGGAGCACTTACGATAGTGACAGTAGCTTGGGCTGCCACTCTTCCTCCATCACTTTCCGCCTCACACACATATACACCAGAGTCAACAGGTGCCACCTGCTCCAGGACTAGTCGTTGATGCTGGGTATCTATCCTGGTGCGTCCCTGTGGCATCTTGCCATTTAGTCGCTGCCAGGATACTGAAGGTGTGGGTGACCCACGTGCACGACACCTCAACTCCACTGCCACTCCTGAAGGAGCAGTCACATTCAGTGGTCGCTCCTCAAACCAGGGCACAGCTGAGAATACAAAAATTATTGTAGATGTGTGTTGCTTGAATTCTCGTAAAAAAATGATTTTGTCCAAACATAAGATAATTTTTTATTATTAGTAGTAGTAATAGTAGTAGTAGTAGTAGTAGTAGTATATGTTAAAATGAAGCACCAACTATACCGATGAAAAAAATAAATAGTAGGAAAACGTGATTTTTTACATGAAGGTTTATTAATTTTCTGACTGATAAATTTAGATTTAATTATGAGGTGCACAAGTAGCATACTGTATGTAACATGTTATACTCAGGAGAGTGAACTGAGTGGGTACAAGTCAGGATTTATGACAGCAAGTAGGGTGGGTGTGGGTAAGGATTTATGACAGTGAATTGAGTGGGTGTGGGAAAGTATTCATGACAGTGAGTTGGGTGGGTGCTGGTAAGGACTTATGATAGTAAGTTGGATATGTGTAGACAAAGATTTACTCATGGCAGTGAAGTGAATGGGTGATGATAAGCATTAGCTAATAACAGAGTTAGGTGGGTGCGAATATGGACTTACTCATGACAGTGAGTTGTGTGGGTGTGGACTCCCTGATGCCAACAACATTTCTAACTCTACATACATAGGTTGCAGAGTCTTCCTGGATGACCTTGTTGATGACCAGGTCACCTGCCTGGGAGACACTAACACGGCTGGTATTGGTCACCTGGTGACCATCCCTCAACCAGGTCAGCTCTGGCCGAGGGGTGCCCTTGGGTGGCCGGCATGGCAGGCAGAAAGTGTCCCCTACATGGGTCTTCATTGTGGGTTCTCCTTGGCTCTGAAAGACATAGGCGAGGGTTGCAACAGTCAGTGTGGCGTTGTGAGAGCGTGTAGCACCATAGCTGTTGGAAGCCACACACCAGTACGTGCCAGTGTCACTATCCTTCCTGGTGGCAGTGACACGGAGGAAGAAGAGGGAGCCAGTAGGTAGGAGTACACGGTGAGAGCGAGGATTTTGTGTAGAGGTAACCACCTCCTGACCATCACGGAACCAGCTGATGCGTGCAGCACCAGCTGCTGCACAGTTGAGGGTGACAGGGTCGTTACGACGAGCAACTACACTGCTGGGATGTTCCTTGATCACTGGCCGCCCTTCTGTAAAATGATGACTTTGTTAGTAATGACCTTACTTTTATAATTACCCTCCTTTCAAATGTTTTAATTAAACGACAATGTGAAAAGAGACGAACACAAATTTAAACATTTATGGAAATATTTCGCCACGACTGAGAAAACTAGTCATGGAGAAATTTTTTCCTAATTAAATGTCTTAATCTGGACATTCATGTCTCCCTTGATAACTTTTCAGTACTATAATCTTATTCAGAAGGTGAAGATGATCGCAAGAAGCCAAATATTGACAGAAAATAACAGAAAAATAGTGTGGATCTTCATGTGTACAAGATTTAATTCATCACTGGTGTTTATTACATTGTAGTATGTTGAAGGAAACATCACTGGTGTTTATCACATTGTAGTATGTTGAAGGAAACATCACTGGTGTTTATCACATTGTAGTATGTTGAAGGAAACATCACTGGTGTTTATCACATTGTAGTATGTTGAAGGAAACATCACTGGTGTTTATCACATTGTAGTATGTTGAAGGAAACATCACTGGTGTTTATCACATTGTAGTATGTTGAAGGAAACATCACTGGTGTTTATCACATTGTAGTATGTTGAAGGAAACATCACTGGTGTTTATCACATTGTAGTATGTTGAAGGAAACATCACTGGTGTTTATCACATTGTAGTATGTTGAAGGAAACATCACTGGTGTTTATCACATTGTAGTATGTTGAAGGAAACATCACTGGTGTTTATCACATTGTAGTATGTTGAAGGAAACATCGTTCAGGTAATGGTCTGCACTGGTCTTGTATATTTGTTTTCACCAGTAGAAATAAAAATGTGTTTAATGTTTGTCACTCTGATAAGAATGCTGTTTTTTTCTTGCTCTATTATGAATATGTAAGATGACATGTAAACTTTACAATAATGGGTGTACCAAAGTATCGGTATTTGCCTAAAACTGAGTATAAGTATTGGTATCAGCCCAAAATTTAGTACTGTCCCATCCCTACTTGCAATCATTTATTTAAAGTCATAAGACAGCTTTACTATCCTGTGTTCTATAACAGTAATTATTACTGTAATGTTTATTTCCAAATATATAAGATGCTATCAGAAAGTTGTGACTCGTACTTCCTGGTGTTACGACTTATCCTATGTAGTAACAACGGGGGAATAAATTATTAATATTATAATCAAAAAGAAGCGCTAAGCCACAAGGGCTATACAGCGCTGCAGGGTAGGGAAGGAAGCGAGGGTATTGGGCGGCGGAAGGGGGGAGGGATGATCAGTAGGTTACAGAAAACAGCGGGGCAGGGGATAGTGTGGGGGTAGAGGGTAGCAAGAGATTGAGGTAGAAAGGGCTGAAGGTATCATCAGAGTTTGTGAAGTAAGTCAGTTGTTGTCAAAAAGTCAATGAGAGAGTCCGGATGAAAGGTGGATCCATCAGCGAGAAGGGAAGGTAAAGAGAGAGCAGCGGAGCGAAGATGATGTTGCAGGTATATTCTGCGTGCTCGTTGATAAAGTGGGCAGTCTAATAGAATGTGGCTAACCGATAATGGAACCTGACAATTCTCACAGAGAGGAGCAGGGCGCCTCTCCATGAGATATCCATGAGTAAGACGAGTATGGCCAATGCAAAGACGGGAGAGAGTAGTCTCCCAACCTCGACACTGGTGACAAGAAGACGGCCAGTAACCTATACTCGGTTTAATAGATTGAAGTTTGTTACGGAGCAGAGTAGACCAACGTTGTTGCCAACGGGTGTGAAGGTGGGTAGCTATTGCAGCAAAATAGTCCGTAAATGGAACACCTCTATATGAAACTGGTAGGTCATGTACTGCTGACCGTGCAGCAGTGTCTGCCTGTTAATTGCCCAGTACATCAACATGACCAGGGACCCAACAAAAAACAATATCTTTATGCTTGGAAGAGATGTGGTGTAGCCAAAGTTGGATATGGAGGACTAAGGGGTGAGGTGTATCAAATTTCTGTATAGCCTGTAAAGCACTAAGGGAGTCTGAGACAACCACAAATGATGACACAGGCATAGATGCAATACGAATAAGTACTGCAAGAATGGCATACACTTCAGCAGTAAAGATACTTGCCGAAGATAGTAAATGCCCTCGTACGACGCTGTCCGGAAACAATGCTGCAAATCCAATGCCATCAGAAGACTTAGAGCCATCTGTGTACACTGCAATGGCATGAGAATGAGAGTGGAAGTGATCAAGAAAAAGAGTGGGAAGCTACTGTATACAGTTGGGCTTTCGAGCAAGGGAGTTAGAAAGAACAGACTCGAACAGCTGGAACTTCCGAGGGGGGGGTAGGGAAAAGGGAGATGCTACATGAACATAGAGAGGTGGTAATCGAAGAGAAGACTAAGTAAGTAAGTAAGTTTATTCAGGTATACACAAATACAGTTACATAGAATTATCATACATAGCAGCATATGTGTCGAGAACCTAGGATAACCCAAAAAAGTCAGACAGAGTGACTTATTTCCATTGGGCAAAGAGAGAAGGGACAGAGCAAACAGGGGCGGCGAACAAATAATGTCTACTAATATCGGAGACCATTCTATAAATTGAAGGATTGCGGAGATCATGAGGGCGTACATAGTAGCGAAGGCAATGGGCATCTCGGCGATCAGATAAGGATGGAACGTTCGCTTCTGCATAGAGGCTCTCAACAGGGGAAGAGCGAAAACCACCAAGGCATAAACGTAATCCTTGGTGATGAATGGGGTTAAGGCTAGCGAGAGTAGCAGGAGAGGCCGCTGAATAGATCTGGTCACCATAATCAAGTTTCGATAAAATGAGGGTGGAATGTAGGCGAAGGAGAGTTCGACGATCAGCTCCCCATGAAAGATGAGCAAGGGTTTTAAGAAGGTTCAGCCGGCTGTGACAAGTTGCCTTCAAAGAGGTAATGTGAGGTTTCCAGGATAACCTATGGTCAAAGAGTAGGCCTAGAAACCTGACTATCATGTTCAGGGATACAGGAGCCATTGAGGTACAAAGGATGATCAGAGAAGACAGAGCATCTAATGAAAGTAATTTGGTGAGTTTTGGTACTGGAAATTTTAAACCCATGTGTGGTGGCCCAATTGGAAACACGGTCAAGTGCATGTTGGAGAGAAACTATAATGAGGTGACAGTCAGCGCCTGCACATGCAATAGCAAAGTCATCAACATAGAGTGATGACCAAATATTGGATGAAAGACTAGAGGCCAAATCATTTATATCAAGGAGAAAAAGCGTTGTGCTCAGAACACATCCCTGGGGGACACCTTCAGCTTGGATAAAGTCCGGGGAGACCATTGTGTCTCTAAATACCACACTAAATGTCTATTTACCAGGCGTTCCATCACTTTGCAAACTGCACTGGTAAGAGCAATGGGACGATAGTGGGAGGTTTCATGTCCCGTAGTACATGGTTTGCGGAAAGGGAGAACAATGGCAGATTTCCACAGCTGTGGAAGAACTCCTTGTGACCAAATAAGATTGAAAAGGCGTAATAGGACTGCAAGGGCTGACTGATGTAAATGTTGCAGCATACGAATATGAATGTCGTCGGGCCCAGCTGCCGATGATCGGCAAGCTGAGAGTGTTGCCTCCAGTTCATGAAGTGTAAAAAGCACATTATACTGTTCTTCTATGAAAGAAGAAAAGTCCAAGGGTACTAACTCTCTGGCAGACTTTGAGGAAAGAAACGAGGAGCATAGATGGAGTCCCTGAGAAATACAGACCAGATGATTGCTAATTTCATTGGCAACATCTAGTGGGTTTGCTATATCAACACCGGCAACCTGCAGAACAGGAGCCGGGTCAGGAGAATATTTACCACTCAGTTTTCGTACTTTTTTCCAGACTGCACTCATAGAGGAAGCAGAGGTGATGGTGAAGACATAATCTCGCCAGCAAGTGCCTTTAGCGTCACGGATGACACGGCGAGTGATCGCACACTTCTGCTTAAAATCAAGAAGTCTCTCCGTGGTTCAATTGTACCGGTACCTGCCCCATGCAGCGTGTTTCAAACGTACTGCACGAGCACAAGCAGAAGACCACCAAGGCACGCATTTCTGAGAATGCCTGCCCAAAGTTTGGCGTATAGAATGAGAAGCTGTGGTTAAAACGGAGGATGAGAAGAGGTGTAAAAGCTCATCAATGGAGGACGAAGAAGGAACCTCACTAAAAACAGTTAGTTGTGAGTAAAGGTTCCAATTTGCCTGATCAAATTGCCAGCGTGGGATACGAAGAGGTGGTGAATATGAAGGGGAAGTAAGAATGATTGGGAAATGATCACTGTCATGTAAATCCGGGAGAACAGACCAGGTGAAGTCTAATGCGGCGGAGGAAGAGCAGACTGAGAGATCGATGCAAGAGAGAGTATGAGTCCGAGGATCAAAATGGGTGTGAGTACCTGTATTTAAAACATGGAGGGGGTGGGTGGCAAGAAAAGCCTCTAACTGAATGTCACGGGAATCACAGTGAGACCCCCAGAGGAAATGATGGGCATTAAAATCGCCAAGTAGCAGAAGTGGTGGTGGTAATGACGAAAGAAGAAAGGCAATATCTGGGATAGATAATGCCCGAGAAGGAGAGAGATACAAAGAACAGAGCGTATACCACCTATGCAAGTGGATACAGGCTGCTGTGTAATGCAGCGAAGTATGAACAAATAGCTGATGTTATGGAATATCAGTGTATAGAAGGGCACTTTCATTAAAGGTCCCATCAGGAAAAGGATCTGAAGAATACAATAAATTATAGCCTGAGATAGGAGAGATAACGGCAGAGTGTAATTTTTGTTCCTGTAAGCAAACACCAACAGGGAAAAACTGGGAGAGCAACATCTGAAGCTCACCCCAATTACCCCTGAGGCAGCGAATATTCCTCTGTAAATAGGCCATGACTGGCAACGATAAAGATGCCTGAAATCCGCAGGTAAGGGTACCTACAGACTATAGGGGTTAGAAAAGTCCACATTCGGTGGCAAAGGAAAACGTTCAAGTAGCGAAGGAACGGTGAAG